GTACTGTGCAGTCGGCCTGTCACTGCGAGGGCTCAGCACCGATAAGCACTTGTCCCTGGGGGTGCTTGACATGAACTCATTCTGTGAATGAAACTTCCTTTTAAATTCTTGAAAATTATACTCTGCCCAAGAAAACGAAAGAGAGGAAAGGCTTTTGTCTCTCTATATCACTAGGTCTAGTTTTGGAGAACATAGCTTGGACTTCCATCAGTTGCTGTCAAAAAACAAAGGGTTTCAGGTGCGCTATGTAGCCCCACCGACCTGACGTGGCTGAGAAGTCCCATATGAAAGGATGCGGCGTCGGTCAGTGCAGCACCAGGAGCCGGGTTGCAAGGAGAAGACGCGGGAGGGGTAGCAGTCTCCAATTCCCGGGCAGTAAGCTTGGGTGAGATAAAAAAACCAAAAGGCAGAAAAAGAAAGAGAAAAACATGGAAAAGAAAGAGAAAGAAGACAAGTTCCACATGGCCAAAGCCTAGGCGTGATGTATATGACTGGATTTTGCTCTCTGGAGAGTATTTGAAAAACCCTGGAAACAAGCATAATACATACTCAATAAAAAAAATCCAGCTAACTTAAATGAGTAGCGAAGGCAAGGAGAGGCACCAAAGAAATGGATTTCAAGTATGACTGCTCGAGACACAAGGGGCAGAAGTCATAGTGGGTTAAGGAATATCAGAAACCAGTTGTTAGTTGAACAGAAACTCAAATGGTATGTGAATTCAGTTATAATTTTACTCACAGCATAAGCATTAAATATTAAGCTCTTCTTGGGCAATCTTTCGCTTCCCCTCAACAATTAAAATAGGTATCTCTAGAGAAAATTATTTTATCAAAACAAACCAAAATGAAATAGGAATCACAGTGACTCAAATGCACTGGCTAGTCGCGAAACCAATGCTCAGAAAAAGATGGCAGACAGTGGGGTTGGCTTGTCTGGCAGGACAGAAAGGAAGAGGGCAAAAGTTACCAGAGGTGAAGCAGGTGCTGAACTTTTGCCCCTTGAGCCTTTTTCTCTAAAAGAAATCTATGTTCATCAGTTTTTATGATGCCAAAATAACTGTTTTTAGACTATGATTAAAAAAAAATGTGCGGAGAAGCGATACTAAGGTCAAAGGAGAAGAGTCAAAGAGATTACTGTCCTTATGTCCCCTGGACATGCATCTGGGCAGACCCTGTTCGTTCTGGTGATGAGTTTTTCTTGAGTCTGCTTAGGGATGAGTAAAAAGGAAACACGCGAAAGAACAACCACTCTGAAAGAAACGGCTCCATGGCACTTTAAAAAAATCACACAGTTCTTCAAAAACATTGTTTAAATGCATTTAAATTAAAAAAGGATAGAAAACAAACCTGGGTAGAAGAACTCTGTGCCCTTGGTGTCACTGAGTTCAATACTCGTAATAAAATTTCATATATATATGGAGCAGTTCTAATTCTATTTGGGGAGTATAGATTGCTGATGAAATTCACAGACCAGTATCTCTTCTCCGATTTAACTGATTCCGATTCCTGCATCTGGTAAAACGTTCAGTACAATCCTTTATAATCCTCAGCAACAGAAAAAAAGGGAAGCTTTCAGAACAGATAACATTGTTTTTATTTTTCTTTGTTGCCATGAAGGGACGTTATGTATTCAACTCCAAAAGCTGGATTCATTAATACAGTGCTTCCCTTCCTCACCAGGAATTTAAAAAATGATTTAAATCATTATTTACTTCTTTGCAGCCAAGGGTCCTTGTTGTCCTCATCAGCTACATGAACCATGGCAAATCTCCTTGGAAAGAGTGTGAGGCACAAGTAGTTAAATGCCTGAAGCTGCTGGGCTCTAAAAGCTCACAGCTGAGTGCAGAGTCACTGTTTGCAATTTACTGCCAGCATCTGTTGCCGTTGGGCTCAATGCTAATGGGTCACCCTTGGGAGTTAAAGCTGACACTCTCCGATAAGTCACTTCTAAAATCATCTAAGCAAGCAAAGTCATTTTTATTTGCCAGCCTAAATTATGCTATTGGTGAGAGTCATGAATCCATGTTGTTATCTAATGTGGATTTACTCTAACATCCTCATCACTCCGGTTAGCACCAGAGATATCAAGCCTAGGTCCAGCGGCTGGCCAGACACCCACAGCTTTGGCAGGCGTCAAGACGGCAGGTGATTGTCCTGGAGGAGAGGTGCCTATATCAGCACCAGCTACCCAGGGCCATCTTCACGAAAACAAACAAACACACACAAACAGCTTCTGAAATGCACATCTTTCATGCCTCCTCTTGCCTCTGTTGGTTAACCTAAGTAAACTATTTTTGTTCTGTTGTGACTGCACACTCCATTCAGTAGTGTAAACTTTGTCTTTCTTCTTGGAGAAGAGGATTTGTATTTTCCCTTCTTGTTCAACAAAGTCTTTTCTTTTCTTCCCCGCTTCCTTCCTTCCTTCCTTCCTTCGTGTCTTGCATATAGTTCAGGCTGGACTTGAACTCACTATGTAGCCCAGGCTAACTCCTGGCGATCCTCATGGTGCAGCCTCTCAAAAGGAACTTTCTCACCAATCCCCTTCCTGGTGTTAGAATAGCGAGGGACCTCCAAAGGAGGTAGCTAGATTACAGGAAAGGGAGGTAATTCTTAAATCCCCATTGCACTGAAAAGTTTCCCTCTAGACGAGTGTTCTGTACCAAAATAACACAGCAATGGGCTTCAGAGCTTCAAATGAAATTTGACATTTACAGCTAGGTTGCGGGTAGGGGCGGCTGTGGCTCAGACGCAATATCAGAAAACAGGAAGTGTTGTTTCATATGCGCCTCGTCCTTCCTTAGCTCGGTGTTGGAAGGTATCCGGCTTTGAACTCAAGTGGAATTCAGATGTTTCAGTGCTCATCTGGTGAGCTAAAGAGTTGAGCTTTTACAAAGTCTGTTTGCAGAGCGAAGGATTCGAATTATTCTTCCCCCTGGGACAGAACCATGCCCCAAAAGAAATGGAGTAGATGTCAAAGCTATAGGAGGGAAGGAGTGACACTGAGTATTAAACAATGTCCTCAACTCAGATGCCCCATGAGATCTGCACAGGGGTTGGTGGCAAGTGGAGACAATCTTGTTTGTTGCTTTTTGTTGTTTGTTTGTTTTGAGACAGGATCTCGCTGTGTAGTCCAGGCTGACCTTGAACTTATAGCAATCTTCCTGCCTCAGCCTTCCAAGCGCTGGGATTACAGATGTGTGTCACCACACCTGGCATAGTGGAGAGAACTGCGTGAGGTAACAACTCGTTAGGATGGATGTAGTGAATTGGTAAGCATCTAAACAAAGGAGAGTCAGTGTGCACACAGCATTTGCACATCTAGCTCTCCTGTGTGGCAGCATCAGGTGTGAGGTCACTCGAGCCCAGCAGGCGCACCAGTAAGAGCGGCAGCAGAGACTCACTGGTGAGCTTTGTCTGGAGAAAGACTGGTACCCAGCAGAGAAGACGAGAGACGGGCAAACAAAAATGATTGCGACCATAAGCTAACTGAGTAGCTTGGTTTAAAAATACTTTGGGGACCTTTATAAATACTTTTGTTTGGAGGAAGCCTTTGCAGAAAAACTGAGACCCTGTTCTAGGTAGGAACAAGAGTGAGTGACACCAGGTTAATTCTTTGATTCTTTTCCTAAGTGCAGTTTTATTCATGGAGGGTATAATCAAGCAAACGGACTCTTGGATGTTTCTCTTTCAAAGGACGGAAGGAGGTGATTTGCCACAGAAGTAGCAAGATTGGAATATTCTACAGTTTTTTTAGGGGCAGGAATCCACTGAAGATGTCACTGAGAATTCTGGCGGGACTAGAGATAATTTTATCCCTTCACAGACACAATAAAGGATGGTTATTAGTTATGGGGTATTGTTGAAAAATTGTTTTAATGTTTAATTTCTGTAGATCTTTATGCTTATTCCTATATACACTTATTCCTTTGAGAATTAATTCATCCTCAGTATTTGGAAAGAGAATTTTCAAACAGTTAATGTGTGGGTCAATTTTCTTATGCTTGTCTTCCTATAGCATTGTGTTTACTTAATCTTAAATTGTTTTATACTGAAATAACTGTCTCTCTTGGTAAGGATATAAATTCCTGAAGAACATGATCATGTTAGACATTTAAATTATTTATACTAGACTCATCATAGCCTTTGTGATTTTAAGAATAAGCTCTTAATACTGCCCCCCCCAAAAACCTTGGATCAATATTTTGTGACTCTTACCATGGCTAACATTATTAGTTACTACCCAATACCCATATTTCTTTTTCTCAAGGGTAATAAAAATCTTAGTTGAGCATATGGCAATCTAGTAAACACTACAAGTCTTAATCAATTTAGGCTGCTATAACAAAATACCATGGACTGGATGATTTATAAACAAGAGAAATTTATTTGTCACAGTTCCATATGTTGCAAGTTTTAGGTAAGGATTCCAGTAAGGTCAATTTCAGTGAGGGCTTGCTTACAGGTTGCAAACTGCCAACTTTTCATGGTACCCTTAGGTGAAAGAAAGAGAATAAGAGAGCTTTCCTGTGTTTCTTCTTATAAGGGCACGAGCCCCACTCATGGGAGCTCTACCCTTGTGACCTACGTACCCTGAAAGGCCTACCTCCTAATACTATCACATTGGGGGTTAGTATTTTAATATATGAATGGGGGAGGCACAAACATTACATCTATCACACTGCATTTCCCAGGTTCCCTTGCAACTAGGTATGGTCATGTGATGAAGTTTTGACCATTGGGATGCCAGTAAAGAATTGAGTGGAATATCCAGTTTGTGCCAAGGAAAAGAAGAAGATTCCTCCAAATCCAGCATCTTTCTACTTAATCACAGATATGGTGATGAACTATCTATGCCTTTAAAGACAAGGGCCATAGTGGTGTGTGTGTGTGTGTGTGTGTGTGTGTGTGTGCGCGCGCGCATGTGTGTAGTAACAGTAGTAAGAAAAAACAGTTCACAGGAGGCTAAAATCTACACCACAAAACCCTCATAACTGTCTTGGATGTGCACCCCTGAGTTATTATGTAAGGGAGAAATGAATATCTATTTTATTTGAAATAATAAGTGTATCAGGATAATCAGTTTGTTTGATATGCAGTATACAAAAACAATTCCACAGAATTGATCAAGGTTCTTTCCTTAATTATCATTCTTTAAAAATACTCCTGATAATATGAAGATGGAATAGTAAGAAGTAATATCAAACAATAAATGTAACGTTGTCAATAGCTGGCATGCAAAGTTGGCAGGCTCCCTCATATAAATGATCAAAGTTCTAATATATTGTCTTTTTGTTTATTTATAATTGTGAAAGAAGGGAGGAACTTTCCCTTTTAGCGTTCAGTACTTTCATAGTCATCTTGTCTACCACTTAGCTATTCCTCAGTCCAACACTAACTGGGGTCCCATTTTCTATTTCCTGCCCTTGCTAGGTCACTTGAGGGTGGCTGCCTCACCATCCTCACCAACTGACTGTGACACTCACAGATCACGTGCTGAACAGTGCTAAATCATAATGAGAAACAAATTTCAGTTTCTTCCACGGTTACTTCCTTCTTTCTCACTACTTTATCCCTCTCTGTCTCCCACACTGCAGTTACTTCCCACCATCCACCCCTCCTATTGCTTTGTGCTGAGAGTTTCTCACAATACACTGAGAGGCTTTCATGTTCTCAACCAATCTGGGGCCTCTGCTCAGTCACCAAGTCTGCTTTCATGTGCTGTGGGATTCTCTGTGGAAGTCCTGTCCAGCCTGGCCAGGCTGCCTAGCTAAGAAAAGTTGTCAGACCCTGAAGGAACAGAATGATCCTATTCTGGATTAATAAGAAATCTGTAAAGATAAAAGACAAGTTTGATGAAAATCCTTCTGAGAAAACAGAAAATTGATTGCCGAGTTCTAAGGGCAGAAATGACACGTTGAATAGGTGGCCAGGTTAAAAAAGAATCAAAAAAAGAATGAAAACTATTTAAATTGGAATTGGAACAGGGATTCACATATTTTATACCATTACAGGTTGTTTGACAAAATATAATCAAATTTCTTGCTGCTTTTGATTTTGTAAAGATGCAAAGAAATTACAGGAAAAGACTAAGTAAGAAAGACTCAAGTTTCCATGAGATGTAGGTAGAATCTCCATTCCCTGGAGTCTATAGCTTCATTGTTCACAGTGAACAGGTCAAAATGAAGGGAGCGTCATGTGCTCCTGGAACGAAGAGGAGTTCTCAGAACTCTGTAGGCTTCTGGAAGCTTTCCTGCTCCTCTTCCCCCACCACACTCACTCACCACAATCTGCCAGTAGACAGTCCAACAAAGCGAATCCCACACATTTGGTAGGGATTTTTCTTACCCACCCACTTCTATTACTGGGCTTGGAGATGACTCAGAAGGGACTGATATTTTACCCAGCTTGCTGTCGTTTCACGGACGCTGGCATAGGACATGAGCGACCTAAGGATAGTTTATTATCCTCAGTGATAGCAGTGGCCAGAATATCATCATTTTTCTTGTGCCAGCTCCTTGAAATCTAATTTCTAGTATGACATAAAGGTCAGGTGACAGATGCATATGTGGGGAGCTGTCACAGAAGAGAAACCCTGAATTTAGGGAACACACATCTTTTAAAATGGTTAATAAGCCTGCCTGATCTTTGCCCTAAAGGGAAATATTAATTTTATTGTAATGCACCACAGACAAATCTGAGCTTTGTTATTTCAGTCTTCCAAAACTGCTATACAGCATCCTTGAAAAATGCAGTTGGCTTGCTTGCAAGACAGGCAAAAGCCGAAGAGACTCCCAAAGGGCTGTTTCTCAAATCATTTTCTATATAATTTTCTCTCTCCCTCTAAAACATCCTGTCTAAGAAGCTTGTACCACTGGATAACTCCTTCTTGCAATCACCTGCAAACCCTTAGTTACTCCTCATTTGCAAAAACATCTGAAGAAATCAATGTATTCCTTTTCCTTTTAATGCTCTGGCCTTTTGGTGCCATGCTTTCTTCTCCGGTGATTTAAATCTGTGTTCCATTTTCTGCTTCCTTGTGAAGCTGATTGCTATTGTGAATGACATCAGAGATTTTGTTATATTTTTTAGTTGATTATTGCTGATGTAGAGGAAAATTATTGATTCTTGTGAGTGGAGCTTGTATTCAGTGTTCCTTCTAAATTCTCTTATCAGATCTATAGCCTTTCCGTTGATTCAGCTGAGATGATTTCATCTGCAAAACATAAACAAAACAAAGAGTAGGAGAAAAAGAAAGAAAGAAAGAAAGAAGAGGGAAAATGAAGGAGAGTAAAGAAGAAAAAGAACTGTGTGTTTTCCTTGAAATAGAGAAAAAGAAACCAGTATTCTAGTGACCAACATATACAATAGCAACAGCAAATTGTACCCTTACTGAGCATGTTATAATAATCATTTGGTCTAATTTAATGGGATAGGTGGTTCTACTTTGCAGTTCAATAATTAGCTTGTTCAGTTCTGCCAAATATCTACCTTTAATTACCTTTATTTCCTTATTCACATGCTCATTCTTTTCTTGGCTGTATCATAATAAATTTTTAGAAATGTATTATGTTACTAAAGAGTAGAACCACTTGTACTGCTTCATCTCAGCAAGCAGAGTAGTAACAAATTTTCTGTAGCATTTTTTGCTTTAATAGCCATACTTAACCTCTGAACATTCTCAGCAGTACTCACAATGGGAAGAAAATTTAAGTACAGTATTAGAGAGTGGGGAAAAAAAATCTCTGGAGTAGTTTCCTAAATGATAACATCAAAAATGGCTACATCAGAGTGATTTCTGCTGCCTGATGATCCAAATTCACTGCTTAATAAGAATCTCCAGAGATTAATTGCAACAAAGCATGCACACAATTTCCTAAACTGAACAATATGTACAAACCCAATTATGTTTTATGAGGATCAGAATAAACTTGGAAAAGATTTCTATGCAAGAGAAGAAGCTGGGGGCCAGAGATACAGCTCAGTGGCATAAGTGCCTGCCTGGCAAGCTCAAGGTCCTGAGTTTGATTCCCGGTAACCCCCCCCCAAAAAAAGAGAGAGACAGAGAACAAGCTGGAAATATCTCAGAATATTAAAGGAAATCTAGATGCCTTTAGGATCAAGTTTCTGAAAATGATTAAATGAAATGGAATGAAACTTTCTACATACCTTTTAAAACCCAAAGAAATCCCTTAGCAATTACTACCAGAATCCTAGTGAGTATACGTACTTTAAACACCACCAGATTTCTACCTAAAGCTTTTCATAAGCTGAATGGAATTCAGAGTCAAGTCATATAGCTGAGACACTAAGGTTAACCCTTGTGTTATACGCCCGCACTAACTCCATGCAAAAAGTGTAAGCATTCTGTATTGCAAACATATGCTAATAAAAAAAAGCTATCAACCATAACAACAATAAAAAAGAAAGGAGTTCTCTGTATCTATTAGATGGAGCAGAGGAAAAGACAAGTTTGTAACAGTGGAACAATCCTAGTTGCACTTAGAGGAAGCAGGTCACAATGTAAAAGAGGGTGATTTAGCAAAGAGGAAGAAATGCATAACTGGAATAGCTTTATGAAATAATCCCATGTTTTGTATCACAAAATTTGAGAAAAACATAAGGTTTAATGGAAATATTTTCAAGTAAAACAACAGAGTAATGATTTAACCCTTCAATGCCTAGTGTTCCATTTTTGGAATGCCCATACATCAGAACATGCTAAAATTTTTCCTTCAAATTCTTATTCCTTGATTTTTTCTAGGTAGCATATATGAGTTCCATGCAAAAATTCAAAAAAATTGCACTCTTCTCCATAAATGGGTTAATATAGCCATCATTAAAGACAAAAGAGCAATCAGTGGCATTATTTTTTTGTTTGTTTGTTTTTGTTTTTCTTCCAGTACCAGGAATCGAACTCACGACCTTGGGCTTGCCATGCAAGCGCTTTTGCAACTGAGCTAAATCCCCAGCCCCTCAGTGGCATTATTAACTCACTGGAGAATGTATGTATCTTGTATTGGTCACACTTTCCCATCCCTGGGACCAAATACCTAACACTCACAACTTAAAGGAGCAGAAGTTTATTTTGGTTTCAGTGGATTCAGTCCATGGTTATCTGGCTCCAAGGCCGAAACAGCATGGTGGAAGGGCATGGAAGAGAAGATCTGCTCTCCCCATGATGGTCAGGAGGCATGGGGTGGGGAGAGAGAGAGAGAGAGAGAGAGAGAGAGAGAGAGAGAGAGAGAGAGAAGAGCAGAGACAAGAACACACCCTTCCGGGTCATGCACAAATGACGTACCTCTGATCAGGGCCCACTTCCTAACAGTACGTTCAACTACAAATCCATCAATGGATCACTCCCCTGATGAGTACAGTGTCCCCCTGATTCAGCTACCTTCCAAAAGCTCCATTTCTAAATACATGAGACTTTTGGGGGGACGTTACATATCTAAACAAACATATATCTATGATACAGATTCACCTTTGTCACAATTCTATGTGCCATTTTGAGCTATTAGCAGTGAGGTATTTTTGGATTTTTTGTTTTTTGCATGGCACACAGTTTGTAGCAGTTGTTCATTCTTGAAATGCTTTGGGTTTTAAAGTAAGATGATGTATGATTTAAGACTTTAGACTATCTCTAGGTATGTTTGTTATCCTTGAGTTTGGCTGTCTACTAGACATATGACTTACTTGGCTTCTGTCACACTGCCACAAATTAGTTCAGTCTAGACCAATAATTCTAACCCCTAAGTTCAACTTTTAACTCTGCCAGATGCTGTTTGACAGTAGATTCCCCAATACTGAAAATCTTGCCAAGTGCACATTATGTTGTTGTATAATTACAGCTTTCTAGTGCTCAGTATGGTACTATTAGCTCAAGCTGAAGCTCATTTAGTGTACATAATTACAGCACACCCAGCAGCAAGCACTGACCTAAAAAGGAGGGGTTTCTGGTGTTATTCTTATCTACTTCTATTGTCAGTATATGTAGTTATTACCAGGACTCCAGATTTTGAGAGAATTTGGTACTTGCATTGCGTTTGTAAGTACTTGGAATATCTAAAAATCACACTGATATATTAGAGCTATTCTTCCTTCTAATGGTGATTAGATGTTAATATTATTTGAACAACACTTAGTTTTTGTTTTTGTTTATTTGATTGGTGTTTTGGGCTCTTTTCTCTTGTGCTTGGAGGGAAAATGAGAAGCAGCAAAATGTCACCAAAACGTCCAGTCTTAAAGAACTGTTCTGTTAGAGAGTTATAGCTTATTAAATGTTTGTGATGCCTAAGACACAGTCACACTTTGGGAAATTACACTTCTTTACCATCATTACACTTATGTGTTTTACAGCTTCAAACACCACCTCTAACAGGTAAGCCACTGGTAGTGCTAGGTGCATTGGGTCAAGATTGTACTGGCTTTTTCTTTCTCTCTCTCTCTCTCTCTCTCTCTCTCTTTCTCTCTCCCTCTTTCTTTCTTTCTTTCTTTTTCTCTTTCTTTCTTTCTTTCTTTTTTTGTACTAAGAATCAAGCTCAGGGCAGGCACTGTGCCACTGAGCTGTATCCCCAGCCCAGTACTGGCTCTCGAGAGGATACAGGGGTAGGGATGAAGAAGGCTCCGGTTGCTTGGGCATTTCCTCTCCAGCTTTGCTTATTGCTCCTCATTTAATATTAGACTTTCCAGCTGGGCCCCCTCCACCCCCATAGCTTTCTCTTGGATTTAATTGCATCAAAAGAAAGGTTAAGGCTTAAGCCTAACATATGGCATTTAGCTGAAATTCTCAATATTGATAATTGATGAACTTTAATTTTCTTTAAAAAAAATGCTTCAACATCCACTCTTTTACCTTCTTAGAGAACTGTCATAAATAACCAAAGTTAATGCTTTTGACATATTGTTTTATACTTGTGAAGCTCTGTGAACTTCAAGAAATCTTTAACATGTACTGGTTTATTCCAAAGAACCCACTATGTGAACTCAATGAAATTAATTCTAAGAAATAAATGTTTTTGAACTATTTATAGTTTATATTTTAACAATGTACTTTTAAATACTTTGAAGATGAAAGCCATGACTGTTTCAATATTAAGATTTCTTTTTATCTCCAAATATGGACTAAAGCAATTCTCATTTAGGTAGCTGAAAGTTTATGCACTAATAAAGGCAAGACAATTATTTTAATTAAGTAAAAGTCAGAGGACTCACACAAGAAGATGTTTACCAGCATGATCAGCTAGTAAATTTTTACAGGGCTTTTATATGACAATTCTTTTTCAGAAACATTGGTCTGACCAGTAATACGTGCATGTATACACAATTTTCTTAATGCTAAACCATGTTATGATAGAGTCCTTAAAATATCTTGGCATTTCCCATTAGGAAACCAAGTGATTGGTTACACAGCAAAATGCAGCTTCATCTGATCAATGTCAAGGAAGTACAGAAATACTAGAGCCACCTGAAAACTGGAAGGTCAGCGATCCCAGAAATGTCATTTGCAAACAAAGACACTAAGTGCAGCGAAACCAGTGTGATGTAAAATACTCAGACTGTCGCTAAGGGTTAAACCTGATATAGTCCTCATAATCTTCGTATCATCATCATCATCTAAGAGATTATTAAAAGAATAATCTTTTAATTTGAATCAACAAATAATTGACTAGTGATTTGAAACTGGGCGGGTGTGGTGGTGGTACATGCCTATAATTCCAGCACTCGGGTGGTTGAGGCAGAAGAATCCCACGGGCTTGAGGCCAGCCTGGGCTACATAGTGAATTCACTTTTTTTTTTTTTTTGGATTTTTTTCTGGTACCGGGAATCAAACACATGACCTCGCGCTTGCCAGACAGGCACTGTGCCACTGAGCTAAATCCCCAGGCCCTACATAGTGAATTCAAAGCTAGCCCGAACTATATAGCAAGACCTTGTCTCAGAAAAATTTTTAAAAATTGATTAGTGATTTGAGAAAGGAATTAGTCATACAGTGTTCACTCAGACATACATCGAATGCTGCCTAATGATTAAAGCCTACCATCTTTAAACATTTGATGAAAGATTTGAGTTCAGCATATTCACATGACATTTATCAGACTTCTCTTATAGGAAATGCGTGTGTTAGAAGCTATGAATGATTTTAAGAACTAATGAAAGGAAAGAGGAATGAAGTGGGTGGGCAAAGACAACTCCTGCCCTCCAAAAACTTCCTTC